TACGTGCAATACGTACGATATTGACCTTGAGAAACGCCTAATTGTACATCATAATTTTATATGATTTTATACCTTTTTCTTTAACTAAGCAGGACGACTTTTCACGTCTTATCATAATTATATAATTGAGTCCACATCCATTCCCAGGATTTGAGATAATGGACAAGACTTACTACCTATTGTTACAATACTCTATATCTTACTCTGATTCTAAACTGGTGCTGAAAGGAGCAAAATGGATTGTATTTGATTTCATGCTCGGATTCAACCCCTTTTTATGAAAAGAGCTATATCATCATCAGCCAAAATAACTGCAGAGGGGTTTATGAATGTTCCGCTATAAGTGGTGCTTTCTTAGACGTCCGTGTGAAGTCACAGCTACCTTTTTACTAAGAGCAGGAAATTGACACCGAAGCAATTCATTTTGAATAAGTGAGGAAGGAAATCATTTACATGGCTAACAAGCTTTAAAATCATGCACGATGCTCCTTATTGCAAACGCCTCAATGTTTGAAGTTATTTGCACAGTGCTTGGCAAATAAGACACAGGTCTGGCCATGTTTGAAGTTATTTGCACAGTGTTTGGCAAATAAGACATACGTCTGGCCATGTTTAAAGTTATTTGCACACTGCTGGCAAATAAGACATACGTCTGGCCATGTTCAAATGTATTTACACAGTACTTGGTAATTAAGACACACGTCTGGCCATGTTTGAAGTTATTGGCACAGTGCTTGACAAATAAGACATACGTCTGGCCATGTTTAAAGTTATTTGCACACTGCTGGCAAATAAGACATACGTCTGGCCATGTTCAAATGTATTTACACAGTGCTTGGTAATTAAGACACACGTCTGGCCATGTTTGAAGTTATTGGCACAGTGCTTGACAAATAAGACATACGTCTGGCCATGTTCAAATGTATTTACACAGTGTTTGGCAAATAAGACATTCGTTTGGCCATGTATTGAAGAGTATTAAGGCCATCAAAATGCTAATGGTCATATATGTTATAAACAGCATTTTATTTTCCACTGGGATAGGAGAGTAGGAATATCACTTTAACATATGAAAAATTCACAATCGAGAAGTTAAAAATCATCGCGCTTATCATTTACCATTTCGGGAAACTATTCTTGTTAGTTGTGTTGAAGAAGAGCCCGTCATGCCTTTGATTTCAGTTTTTACTGGTGTATAAACTATACATGGTCTATAGATATTTCAAGTTACCTAAACATGAAAATGAAGATGAAACCAAGACATAATCAATATGTTTTATAAGTGATCTTGAAGGATTTGGGAAAGCCTGTTTGGATAAGTTCTACTGTGAATTCAGTAAAAAAAAAAAAAAACAGCCTGTCATACAGGAGGATGTATGTTGCTGTTACAATTGGTCCTTGATGTCATATGAAGCTTTTTGTGCTGGTTGTGTTGATGGTGTTGTTATAAACCTGGTTCTTATTGAAAACGTAAGATTACTTGCTTGATTGATGGTCTCGTTGATGAAGCAAAAGCTGGTTATCCTTCTTGAACACCTGGTATTATCATTATACGTTTCAAAGGCCTCCTTGTTAGTTTTTCTTATATTTTTGCTTCGCTAAACCAATGATGATGACGATATTTCTCGGAATAATCATTATTTTCTATTTCTGTGAAGATTACTTTGTTTTCATGGTGATAATGTAGATGACACTTTTTCTCTGAAAAGATATAACTAGACCCTGTTTTTGTGAGGGTTGGATGAGTTTTCCATATGATGAGGTGAACTGCTTATTTACATCTGGATGATTTTCTTCTTTTATATCGAGATTAGATGCAAATGCTTTATTCGATGTCTTCGTCGACCGACAGTTCATCTGGAATAGTTTTTCTTTATTCTAATGACTACACTTTTTCATATTTTAAGGACATAACTATCCCCGATTTCTTTGAGGCTTAATGTAATATGTATAGAACCCGTTCCGATTTGTAAAGAATGTCATTTTCCCGCAGGTTTTCGTTCCCATCTGAAGAACGCTGTTGTTTCATAACGCTTTAAGACCTCTGAAGGACGCCATCTTATAATCTTACTATGAATTTGATCATTTGTTTCGAATTCATGGTATTTACTCACAAATATTATATGTTGTAAGACGTGGTGTTTAAGGCTCTTTGAATGGCACTGTGCGTAAGACTCTCTAAGATACTGTGATAAAGACTTATCGGTGTGTGAACGAAACCGGGTCCTTTCATCAGCTGGAAGGTTCTTAACAATACATTTTCACATAACAGGTCACAAATGAATATAAAGTTGATTATAAAAGTCAGCCAATCGTAATGATCGGTACTGACCTGATTTTTAAGATTTTTCGGTAAAAATAATGTTTTTACAGGGGATAACCATAATTTAGAATGATATCTAGACGGAAGATCAAACATGAACTTGTATTATCTGAAGATTAAATAATATAATATTGACAAAACGTAGTTGTACATGTGTGATGTTAAGTAAGATGTTGAGAGATTACAAGCTAATATTGTTTCATATGAGTTAGAGGGAAAACTTTACCTCATGCAGTTTGTAGTTTTACCATGTGTACTGAAAACAAATAAAGAATAGGAAGTAACTCTGTGGTGGTGGCTTTGACACGAATGGGCATGTGACAAGTATTTGTATATTTAACAAATATCTGTGTGACTGATGGTTGTTACTGCAGTAATGACAAGAGTTTATTTGATTTGAACAAAAATTGCTGTGACTGAGACAATTATTGACGTAATAAGGTAGTAATATGTTTGAATTGAACACACCTTAGCCTCGCTGTGATAACAGTTCATATTTTACCCTAGTTTCTTCGACATTGTGTTTATGATATGGTTCTCTCAACATGTGTTTTTTTTTTTTGTATTTTGTCTATAACAAATGATAGCAAGAACATTATTGTAACCAGATCTAACACTAGGTCGATATGAATACTTAATTAGAACTTAATTATTCGCACGTGCAATTTCCCTTGTTTAATCCTTCATGTTTTTTATATATTAATGAGTGACTTTGTTATAGAAAAACGTTGACTGCTGACTGTCTGACCAGTATGATTGATAGGAGATTGTGTGGTAATAGTGGTAATAATCTAGGGCCATCCCGCCACCTTTACACCATTAGTAGAGTAGTAATAAAGTAAACGTATCTCTGGCGTGATAGATAGAATCTAATTCAAACCATATTATTTTAATTCATGAAAGAGCTAGAATCAAGGGCAATAACTACACTTTGCGTTAATTAGATTAGTTTGGGGCAGAGTATACTGACTCAGTTATCGTGATTCAGATTTGACTGATGAAAAATTTACCATACACATGATTTATATAGAGAATCCCTTGTATAGGACGCGGTGAGATAAAACATGATGATGGTTTCCCCTCTTTTGTATACAAAGTCATTAGGTTTGGAGTATAGGAGTGTGTATGTGATACCAATAGTAACGGGACAAAATGCCGAGATAACAGTCTTCTCCTTTGATTCTCAATTGGTTGTTTAGGTTAGATCCCCCGGTGTCGGTCGATAGGGCTTTCAGTTTGTGTTCACAGTCGGCTGAATGAAGGGGAAATGTATTTACGAATCTCTGTGTCTGCTAAATGCTTGCTTCGGATGTAGAATATGACTAGTAAGTCACCATGTTAACATATACAATGACAGACTTCACACGTTAAAGCGTTGTTCAGCACTGACCACACCCCCTAAACTACCCATCCCCGAACACAAAACGTGGGTGTTACAACGCTTACTGAGCCGTCTCTCTTACAAACTATGACAAACAGATTTAAAAACCGATTTGGAGGGGCATAGCTTCTCGTGCTGATCCCGGACACGTAGTGGCCAAGTTTACCTCGGATGTACTCGGTAGCTTGGCAAATACTTGCATTTATATTTCAAACAAATTGGATAAGTTATATTGGGCTTCAATATCAAGAATAGAAGAAGACGAGATATCAACGAACACATATACTAGCCGATTGAACAGAGGACTGTATACTTATCTTGTAGACGTTACTGGATTAATGATATGAAAACCTAGAGACGGTTTTTAAATTCATCTGACTTGGAACAGAACCAACAGAGTTTGGCTACGGCGAAAGTAATTGAAATAAATCTAGTAAACACGTATTCTTGAATTTGTGAAATTTAGATGTGTACTACATTAGTTACTGATTACAGAAGGTTTTCGTTGCATTATAATGGGTTGTATTAGTGTCATGTGTTTCTGCCGAGATTCCTGCACGTAAACACACCTATAGGTAAGTAATGAACACTCGTTATTTACAATAAATTGATTGTTTGTGAGAATTTGTATATGTTGATGCAATGATTTACACACACACATTCCTGACTATACCACGTGGAATACTTAATCGATTCAATGGGTTTGCGAAAGGGTTTTTACAATATGAAATTACAGAACATCGTAACTCTGTAATAGATATGCTAGTGTGATGAAGCTGGTTTTATGTTTTGTATTTAAGATCGCTTGGAAGCACGAGTGTGTAAATGTATGCATGAATTTAATCGTGTCAATTAGATAACATCACGAGGTTATGTAACCTGTGTATCATATGATACACTGATACCTATATAACACCTTCCTAACTACTGCTTCACACGTATTAACTTAACCGATCTTATTTAAATTTCTTCCTGGTTTTTTATTTAGTTACAATATATATTATGAGAAGTAAATAAATGTTAGATTAAATCTTATTTAATGTTTACTTTTCCAGATGTTGGAGAGAATAATGAAAATTGAGATGAAGGTGGATTGTTGCACGTATGTAACGTTATGTGACCAGTCTAACCTTTTGAATTATTGGGACCAACAGCAGTTTGTTTAATATCATCAGTTTGTGTGACTTGCTTAAGAAATATTGGTGAGGACAAAGTGTTGCTTAACGAGTACTATTCGAGTAGTTAGGCAGACCCTTGGTGAGATAACAACAGTTATACAGTACCTATTGTGAAACAATGGATGTAACCAATACAGGTACATGTAGCAGATGTAAAACAATGCATTGTAGCAATATAAATCCGGAGGGTCGTCGATGGACATCTGACCGCTGTGGCCGAACAAACATCACTCAGTCTTTATACCATTCCAATACGGGGAGGACTCTAACTCTAATACTTTTGCTGTTCATACAGTATTCCTGGTGAGTACATCTGTAATTTATTGAAATATCCTTAGTATGCATCGCCGTGATTTTTTAAATATCTAAACAATTCTTGGTGAAATTCATTTCAATCAAAAGAAAAAATTCTTTCTTACAATTTATCTGAAATATTCCAGGTGAAAAACTTTGTATTCAATGGAAATGTTTTTCAGTGAGAACTTTTGTAATTTATCGAATATTAATTGCCACGTGATAAAGCTTTGCTAACTATGTGATTACCTATGAACGACTCTTTTTGATGATGAAGCAGTATCGTTGGTTTTTATCTCTATTATTCATTCAGCATTAGTATTTCTTTTGATTTGATTTTTATACCTTAATTAATTTTAGTTATTGTTTGACAGGCATATTTGTCGGTGCTCTTGGATTTTGTCAAATATATAATAGTACGTTTTGGAAAATTAATACTGTTCAGCTTCTTTGTACGTGTCTCTTCTCACCTTATAGTACCTTAAGTTCTCTCTCTGGAACGTGTTTTATTTTTTATTTCACATTTCCGTTAAGTATGTTAATATTGCTGGTTTCATAGCTTCCTAAATAATTTCATATGATGTGGAATGCAATTTAAACGTCTCAGTGGTGTTGTTACAATGTATTTACTTGTGAACATTTTAAAATTTTGTTGGTGAGAGTGTTCGTTCCTGTTTCTTTTACTATTTGAATATACAACCGTCTCATGGATGACAGCCAAACAATTTAACTTAAGCATTCAGTTACGTCATGGCAATTATAATAAACATAATGGGCAATGCAATTGATGATCGGAAAGGAAATATCTTTTGATTTATAATTAAGATAGTCAACGTGAGCATAGAAAAAGTTTTCAAATTTCTCGTCTTTTGTTCTAAATAAAAAGTCGTTTGGGTGTATCATTCTCCGACGTTCAGACCAGGTTTTTTTCTTTTTTATGTAATTAAAGCTCTGTTGTAAAGGATCGAAAGGTCTTTATACATTGACTTTAACGCAAACAGTACAAAATATACTCCTAATATTTGATTGTGTGCATGCTAATATTCAGATATTGCCAGAACTATATTCATGCGGAAAATTTTTAGTACTAGTAGTGATACGACCAGGGAGTTTATGTCTTTCTTTGTAATGAAAGGTTTTATTGACTTATGTGTCTTTTTTTACAGTCTTCGAGATTTAAGGTTATATAACTCTAAAATGAAAGATGCTATTTTTGCAAAATTCGAGATGATCGCAGGTGGTAGATACTGCTGGTGAACTTTAGCAAGCGGGGTTTGCAATAAACTGCATCCCACGTTTTGATTCATTCAAAGAATGACATAGTTCAGAATATGCTTAATATTATTTTGAAAGTATTCTGCATAGGAAATTATGAATTTTATTCATTTTAGGATAAGTTATTCTCCCCATCTGGTTTGTCACTATGCTGTTGATTGATTGGGATATCCCTTAGTTGTCTGCTATATTTCAACGGTATAATCCCTAAGTATTACTTACGAGTCCTAGAAGGACGAACAAGCTGTATGATGTGATGTAGTATCACTGACGAGTTCTAGAAGGACGAAACAGTTGTTTGATATAGCATTACTTACGAGACCTAGGAAGACGAAACATCTGTATGATATAGCGTCACTGACGAGTCCTAAAAAGACCGAACAGATGTTTGATGTATCATCACTGACGAGTCATAGAAGGACAAAACCATGTATGATGTAGCATCACTGACGATTCCTAGAAAGACATATGACTAACTTAACTTCAAAACACAACAGGACATATATATACCACCGCGTCAGTATTCGTAAACATAAAGCCTTATAGTTTAGTACATAACGGTGTCATAAACGTTTTGTAGAGTCGATTGAGGGGTTTTAACAATAATTTTTGTTCATCAGGGAACAAGAAAAGGTAGGTAATAATTTTGGAGGTGATCATATCGTTTGATGGGAGGATACGTCTATATTAAGTCGACTATTATCACAAACCTATTATCAGAAACGTGTATCTGGTATGTGATTATATGTGTATCAGGACACAGGCAGCAGTTAATGATTTTCTATGGTAGGTAACCAGCATTAATGAAGAACAGCATCATAAATTATAGAGCATACAGGGTAACTATGTCAGTACAGGAAAGTATCTGAATGTTTACTAAAACGTTACATGTTAGTGTACTTTTAAAGTTGATATGACCTTATCTTATTGATCGTTTTAATTATTATGAACCTAATTTAAAACAATAAAGAGAACGTTCGCATTAGATGGTGCAGCTTTTTTAAGAACGACAATTTGATATTTTTTTCTTTTAATGTAAGGCCTTGCATCAGAGAAAAAAGGCTTAGGAAACGGTCAGATGCAAACTCTGATACATAAGGACATCGTTTCGGTCTATCTACAACATCAAAATTGTTGTAAAGCACAAGAGTCTTCGTGAGGGGTACCCTTTATCAGATGTCGTTATCACTGCCTACATCATTGATGGAACTTTTACCTTTATCCTTCGGAATACCTCTATTTGACTCTTGTAATAGCATGGCTAGACCACCATGTATCATACGCACGCACTGATGTTGGCACATCTGCTTGATACAAGGTTTGATTTTAAATCATGCTGTAAGTTTAAGCCTATATATAATGTGAATATTTTATCGTTGTTTTGGATCTTCTGTTACAAGTTTAAACAAGTAAAGGGTAAAGATGTTTCATAAAAGAAATAATAGACAAGAGTTTTCATACGCATTACGTTGTATGGCGTTATAAAGGGACAACAATATCAATGGTCAGTAGACAATATAAAGGGTCACATTGTAAGATGAAGTGTTGCGGACCAGAATACCAAGTGTAACAATGGCTAATCTTGAGGAGGAGAAAGAGTGCAGATTATTTCGGAGATTGAATAGAAGTGGGATGTGCTCAAGATTTAAGATACTGCCATGTAGTGCATAGAGGAAGGTTTTCAAGTTTTATCAAAATGGTTGTAATATTATTGTAAAACTAAAAATGATGAAATAGGTCAGTTCCGTTGATAGAAATGTCATGATATTAGTTGAATTCGATAAGGGGATATAAATCGTTGATTCTCACCGTGAAAACGATTAAGTTATCCACTGAGTCAATCGATTATTTACTATAAAGTACAGTAGACTTATTGAATGTCGATTTATTTATTTATTTATTTACTTATTTATGTATGTGTGAGTTTTGTTCGTGTGTTCCTTGTATTTGTGTATTATTTCCTGTAGTTTGTGGACACAATGAGGAATTATAGGTGAAGATTTTGGTCTGAAGATGAGGAAATTGTATGCATTTTTGTCGTGTAGTAAAATCTTTACCCTTGGCTTATGCGTAACACATATCGTGTGTATGGGGCTGATAAACGATCTGTGGGTGCAAGAAAGTGCATGTGTTTCTTTGCATGCAAAAGTGATTAGAGTTCCCCTACAGTTAAGAACATAAAATAATTTCACAATTACGTTTTATATAAGATGGTTTTAGTTTCGAGTTGAAAATGTCGATATAAACACCATAATGATTTGTTTCACTGCCTTGTGTAATACAGATAGCGTTAAACATTTTAGGGAACATTATTCTTCTCCATTTCTCTCACTACTGACACGTACGGGGCCATATCGCCTTACCAATCCCTTATGCCGTAGAAAAATCTCTAATTCAAAATGACATCGACACGACTTTGGATTCTAAAATAGATATGTAATCGTGTGTTTATATCAGTGGGAACGAGATGTTATAATTATAGGCGTTTTATTTAGCTTAAATACAATATGGTGTAAACAGGAGGTATATGTTCACTAGAGTGGGGATGAACATGTCAAGTCACGGGGTAGCATTTTTTATTTACTGATAAAGCACTGTACAATCATTAATTTTCTAGAGAGATTTATTTTAGGTGAATTCCATGGTACTCTTAATCCGCGAATTTATGTGTAAACGAAACATTAAATGCAAGCAAGATTTGACTTGGAAATCAAGTGCCATCGAAAATAATCATTCATGGAAGACCACGAAATTTTAGTTCCACGATTTTACAGTAGGTGTATTGATACTTGTATACTGTTTACTGTTACCTTTTTGGTGTCCAACATCTGTGCGGACGGCATATCACACTCAATACTGTAACTTTAAGAGGAGAGGCAAAAACTGTCTTATCATATTGAATTTTAGTCAATACGAATCTAATGTTTTTGATTTCATATCCATTTTGAATCCCAATTATATTCAGAAATGTTACATATATTGCTACTTTACAGTTTTGTTAAAAACTTTAATAGGTAAAGTTAGATGTGGGTATCAAGGTATCAACTTTGAATTGTACATATATATAATGCGTACTTCATATGTGGTAAAATGAACACCAGATATGATATTTCTATATCTTGTCATGAAGTATTTTTGGTAAATTTGTCGTATTCTTTGGATTTCTAAACTTGTGTTATAAATTCATTTTCAGTTACAAATCAACATTACTATCCCTGTTTCGTTTGCTTTCTTTGAATTCTCTTTCGGTCTTATTTTCATCTAGTTTGTTTTTGCTTCGGGCTGTTCATTATGGTGTAGTCCTGGATTAGGTGTACATATATTTGATCTTGATGTGTCTAAACTTAAATGTAATCAGAGACATATACAGGTATGTAATTTCTGGGGTAATGGATTGTTTTCGCACCTGTAGCCACCAACAGACAGTTCTTGTCACTGTGGTTTTTATACATACTGCTGAATCATTTCTGTGAAATAACAGATTTATTTTGCTTCAGGTCATGTTACAAGTCTTTTATTTCAAGTTATCCACAGATAACAGACGAAGACAGTGACAATCTTTAGGATTTCCAAATCCACAGATTGAAATTACAAATCGCGTCAGCTGTATTGCATTCTTGAAACAGTGACCATATGACCATATGTATTGCGATATTTCGCCGGGATAGAATAATTCTTTTATATTGTTAAAGATGGATCTGTACCAAAATTATATTGCTTATCAGGGTCATGTC